ACTGGACTGGACCCTACTCATGAGGGCTACTGGTGGTCAAATGTCTTTGCTCCTCAACTGGAAGGGCTCAGCTCCTCGCTTTCTAGGCCGGGATGAGTAAAGGGGTTCATTGCATTAACTGAGCTTTCTCGGTCATTTCCTGCAGCTCCCTTCTGTGAAACTCAAGTATGTGTTTGTTTTTGTGGTCCTAGGATTGGACCCAGGGCCTCTGCACTGAGCTCCATCCCCAGCCCTTTCTATTTTTTACTTTGAGAGAGTCTCACTAAGTTGCTAAATTACCTAGGAACTCATGATCCTCCTGCCTCAGCCTCCCAGAGCACTGGGATGACGGGCTTGTCCTACCATGCCCAGCTGCTCAAGCATTTTTGCACTTTTTTTTTTTGTCTGTCTTTTCTCAACCATGATACCATCATTCCAGTACTTGAGATTTTGAGTTATTCCTCTTGGGAATAATTAGAAGAAAGAAGAACAGTGGTTGTGAAGACGAAAGGGAAAAATCCAGAGACTCCGGCGATACGCAGTAGCAGGGAGCAGGGGGAGGGGGTCTCGGTGCCCCTGGAGGTTCCTGAGTGTGCGGGCAGGCTGGGAGTGAGCGTGGCCTGACACCAGCGTGTGGCGCACCGTGGCTCTGTGCCCTGGAACCAGGGAGCTCGCCGAGTGTTACGTCCTAGATTCCCGTGATCCCCTGCATGAAAGCACCTTAAAGCCCCATAAAGCTCCAGCTTATTCTGCTGTGGGGTCAGCAAAGGGGAAATGAAGTCCATTCGGAGCTTGGAAGGTTTCTGAGAAGCCGGAGAAGGTGAATGAGCAACCGCAGAACTCATTTTCTTTCTTGCTTTTTTTTTTTTTTTTTTTTTTTTTTTTTTTTTTTTTTTGGTACCGGGGATCAAACTCCGGTCCTTGTGCTTGCAATGCAGGCAGCGGAACCACGGAGCTAAATTCCCGGCGGAACTCATTTTCATTATTGACTCATTTTGCAGTACTGGGGATTGACTCCTGGGGCCTTTTGACCACACTGCAGCCCCAGGCCTTTAAAGATTTTTTTGAGACAGTCTTACTAAATAGTACAGGCTAGGCTCCAACTTGTGACCCTCCTGCCTCAGCCTCTCAGAGTGCTCAGGTTACAGGTGTGTGACACCTGGCCAGGATAAAACTAATTTTTATAAATGAGATGTGAGAATGTCCCAGATACACTCCTGTCGCGGTGTCTCTAGGAACTCTGCATTTCCCAGAAGCACTCAAATCCCTTAACCTCAAAGTGTCCCAGGCCTTGGGCTAGGGTGGCACTGGGCTGTGCATCTCTGTGCACATCTGTCTTGCCCTCCAGCAGCTTCATCCTGACAGCCGGTGTCCTGAGAATACAGCACATGTGGTGTGACCAGGGAGGGGGCTCCTGAACAAGACACGTGTCCGCTGTACAGAGCGAAACAGAGGACATCACCAACAGCATAGCGACAGCAACCCCATGAGGCCTGGGTGTGTGCTGAGACAGGAACGGCAGCAACACAGAAGCCACACACAGTGACCTCCAGACCCAGCCACCGGGCCTGTAGACAACGAGGAGCCATCAGAGGATGTAGAACTCCAGAGTGTTATTAAAGCTATTTTTGGAAAATAACTGGCTGAAGAATGATAACTGCCTGGACAGGAGAGAGGTGTTGCAATCCCGGGAGAGAGGTGAGAGGGCTTGAGCTGGGCAGTCACTATGTGGGCGGGAGGCGCCGGCCTGGAGTGTCCAGGCAGAGACTGATGAGGGGTTGGGGTGATGGTGAAGGAGGGACTGGAGGTTTATAGATGGGGTGATCAGAAGAAGGGTGCGGTCATCGAGGGGAGAGGCAGGGAACACAGAGGAAGAACAGGTTTGGGGTGGAGGTGGGGGTTGTGAACAGTCTGGGTCCTGAGAATTCCGGCTGCTGTCTGTCACTGGGTCGAGTGATTTGGAGGGCAGCATGGTGAGCTGGAGAATCCCACAGACTCTGGCGGCATGTCTTCCCGATGACCCTAGGTGCTCAGCGACCCCTCCAGGTCTCAGTGTCCTCTCTTGTAAAAAGCAGTGGCCACACTGTGGGACCGCAGACAGGACCTGCACGAGGGGGCGGGGACGGTGCACACGCTCCAGGCGCCAGACTACGGTGCTGGGGATGGAACCGGGCCTTCGCGCTCAGCTGCCCTTTTTGTATTTTTTGTTTTGAGATGAGGTCTTGCTGAGTCACTCATGCTGGTCTTTAATGGCTTTCTACCCGTGGCAAAAGTGACCCCCAGTTTTCCCTTCTGTCTTAAAAGTACTCCAACTTGATTCAAATCCAACATCTGGAAGACAGACACCTGAGTGCATGTGTTAAGGAGTCTTTGTCACCCGCATACCTGCTGACAGGGTGTGGGCAAAGAGCTCTCTAAGAAGCCACGAAAGGCTTAGCCACAAAGGCTTGGTGTGGTCAGGCCACAGGACATACACACGTGGATGCGTCGAATGTCACAAGTATCATGTGCTGAGCCGGGCGTGTGCCACACACCTGGAATCCCAGCACTGGGGGAGGCTGAGGCAGGAGGATAGAAAACCCAGAATGGGCAATTCAGAAAGATCCCCCCACTTTTTTTTTTTTGGTACCAGGGATTGAATTTGAGTATCTTGTGCTTGCGAGGCAGGCGGCGCAGAAAGATCCTCTTTTATTTATTTATTTATTTTTGAGACAGGGTCTCACTATGTAGTTGAGACTGACCTGAAACTCACTATGTAGGTCAGGTTGGTGTCGAACTCACAGCAATCCTCCTGCCTCAGCCTCCTGAGTGCTGCGATTACAGGCATGTGCCACCATGCCCAGCAGAAAGACCCTATTTTAAAATTAAAAATAAAGAGGGGTCGGGGATATACCCCAAGGCAAAGGCCTTGGGTTCAATCGCAAGTAGTTAAAAGAAAAAAAAAGGAAGGAACGAACGAACGAAAGAAAGAAAGCAAAACAGGATGCACTGTAGATGTTTGGGGATTGAAACCAGGAGTGCTCAGGTGGCTTAGGAAGGGGCAGGTAGCGGTGATGCCATCGGGGCGGGGCCTCCCCAGGAGCACGTGGGTGTCAGCCCCACCCACGTGGGGGGCGGTGACGCGGAGCTGGCTCTGGGCCTTGGTCCCCAGGGTGGGGGGGCGGGAGGGACCTGGCAACGGTGGGATCCTCTTATGTCTCCGTTGGCGGAGAGCCCCATCAGGGTCCTGGAGCCTGCAGACACCTTTCAAGGAGATTTTTTTCCTGAATCCCCCCACCCAAAGGAGGGGCGTCTCGGCTAAAAGTAGGGGGAGGAGGTTTTTCTCTTTCCTCGAACCCCCTCATCCCCGTACTGGGGATTGAACCCAGGACCTTCGCCCTGACCTACCATCCCCAGCCCTTGCACTAGCGAGGCAGGCACAATGCCACTGAGCTAAATTCCTGGGCGTTCTTTTTGCAAATTTTCAGACAGGCTCTGGCCATATTGCCAGGCAGGGCTTGAACCTGCAATTCTTCTGCCTCAGCCTCCAAGAGTGCTTAAAAATATATAAAAACATTGATCAATGGAAAGTAGAAAACTTGCGGAGCTGTTGCTGCTTACCTGAGGGTGACCACAGCCACGGCTATGCTGGTCACCCCATTCATTTCCGTCCCAAGGGTCAGAACACCTGAGACACCTGGAAGCCAGGGATTTAGCTCAGTGGTGCCGCTGCCTGCCTTGCAAGCACAAGAACCATGAGTTCGATCCCCGATACCAAAAAAAAAAGACCTGAGAAAACTGCAAACTGTGCGGCCCCTGGGCACGCACCCTTAACTGCTGGGCCACCTCCTTCATTTTCGTTTTTTTTGTTTTTTTGAGACAGGGTCTCACTACGTAGTTGAGACTGACCTGGAACTCACTGTGTAGCCCAGGCTGGTCTCGAACTCACAGAGACCCTCCTGCCTGATGTTTAACCTAATCATAGCATGTAATTAATGAGGCTGCTGGTGAGAAATGGTCATCGCATTTAAGTGATAGCCACCCTCAACATTCCTGCGGAAGCCTGCGAGCCTCGAGACTCCAGTCCAATCCAAATACCCATAAAACCCGGACTAATTGTTCAGGAGGGCAAAAGGTCAAGTGAGCTGAATACCAGGTTCTGAATTTAGAAAGTCAACAGAAGCCGTGTTTGTGAGCTCTTCGCGGGGCACAGCGCTAACCCAAGTGGCATTATGCTTGAAGACTGCTTCTCGGCACCCGGCATCCAAGCAGCGCAGGTAGCACCGCGAGCCCTGCACACCCACCTGTGAGACCAAGCACTGTGCATTTACCTAGCTTTCAAACACGCTGGCACATTATAAGCAAAAAGCTGCCAGCTGCTTACTCAAGATAAAAACACGCCCTATTAACTATCTGCAATGCATAATAATTCACAGGACTTTCCCACCAGCCCCATTTGTCTGTGTACACATAACTTTTTGTGCTTTCAGATAGGGCCTCAATCTGTAGTTCAGGCTGGCCTTGAACTCACAGAGATTCTCCTGCCTCAGCCTCTGCTCCTCTCTGTAACCAGGCCTTTCTGTGTAAATACCGGGTGGAATTAATTCCTCTTTTTTTTCTAGGTGGCTCTGTGGAGGGAAAGATAGCAAAGGTGACAGACAACCTTCGAGGTGAGTTCACCACCTCCAGCTGCCAGGTGCCACAGCCGGGGCCTGGGACTGTCCTCCTCCACTCTGGCTTTAGAAGTGGCTGTAGCTGGGTGCAGTGATGCACATGTATGATCCCAGCACTGGGGAGGCTGAGTCAGGAGGATCACCACTTATATAGTGAGACCTGTCTCAAAAAAACCAAAAACCAAAACCAAAACCTCAATAAATGCAGCAGGGCATGGTGGTGCACTCCTGTAATTCCAGCAGTCAGGAGGCTGAGGCAGGAGGACTGCCCTACCTTCAGGGCCAACCTGAACTACATAGCAAGAGCCTGTCTCAAAACCAAAACCCAAATAATTACAACAAATACAAATTTCTGGATTTTTATAGTTTATTGTTTTAACTTTTTCAAAGAACATATATCACTTAAAAAATAAACGCAAAGTTCACCTGTTTTACAATACACATTTTAACAATGTTCAGTATACACACATGTATGTGTAACTAAATTGTATTTTCCTTAATTCCTTGGAGTGTTGCAATTTGACATTACTGTCACTTACAAAATAGGTTTCCAACTAAGTTTCTGTTTCCTTTTTTCCCTCTATCTTTTCACTTTCCTGGATCTTGAATTCTTTTTTGCTTCACTGTATTTCTTTTTAAAAAGTTTCTTTTCAATTAAGCTCACTTCATCATGGAGAAGGGCGGCCTTTATCCTCAGGAGGAAGGAGAAGAGGTTTAGTATGAACTGATAACTCAGAGAGAAATTGGATTCTTCATAGGTGGTCACATGTTTGCAGTAGCTAGAAGAGAAGGAAAAGGAGCCAGTTATCGTCCCACGGTGATTCAGAAATGTGTGTGAGTCGTAGTGTGGTGGTGCCTGCCTGTGACTGTAGCACTTGGGAGGCTGAGGCAGGAGTATCGCCAAGAGCTACAGAAGTCCCTGTCCCTGCACTCTGAAGTGTCACCCACCTCCTGCAGAACTTCTGAGTGCTCAGCCAGTACAAGGAATTCTTGGTCACCAGTGCCGGGCCTTTCTTCAGCAGGACACCCTGGAGGCTGTGGCCGTGGAAACAGGGCCTGGCGGGGTCGTCTTTGGCCCAGCGGAACTGGAAACTCGAAGGGCTTTTCTTCTCAACAGTTGGTGTTGAATTGGCCAGCGCACTGAACTGTTTCTGTAGATTCACCACCATTTCTGGAAATGGAAAAGGAAGGAATGTAACAAAAGAAGTGGTGTCATGTGACCACAGAGCAAGCTTGGAGTCTCCCTGACGGCAACGGGGATGTGGCAGTTTGTTTCACAGTAATGAACGAGGGAGCATCAGGTGAAACAGAAACTGGATAAAGGGCAAAGACCACTTATTTATAAATGATTAAAATGGTAAATTTTGTGCACATTTTATCAAAATTTAAAAAGAGCTGGGAGTGGTATGCATGTCTTTCATCCCAGCACTCTGGGAGGCTGAGGTGGGAGGATTGCAAGTTGGGGCTGAGCTTGGGGAATTTAACAAAAGGTGTGTGTGGGGTGTGGGGATGCCGCTTACAGTGAAGGCCTGGGGCTCAATCCCCAGTACTGAGACAGAAACAAACAGAAAAAAAAAAGGTGCAATCTAAGGGCTGTTCTCCCAACAGTTCCCACAGTCCTCCAAGTCGTGTCCGGTTCTAGAGGGAGTTTCAGTGTTCCAGTGCGCAATGGCAATTTCTGAGCTAACAGAGCCTTGGCACTTTCTTGCGGGGCTGATGTTCCTTGTGAAGCCACGCCCTGGAGCAGGTCAGGGAAGGTTCTGAGCTGCCTCAGGCCCTTGGGTCTCAGGCCAGTCTGTCCAGGGTCCCCGCGGCCCCAGGAGCAGGAGATGCCCAACTCACCCCTTCTCTTGTATGCCACTGACTTGTCGATGTGCGAGAAGTAGAGTGGCTTTTTGCTCTTCCACATGTACCTGTATGGGGAGAGGCAGCTGGAGCAGGAGGGACAAGCGCCCCGTCTTGGCCACAGAGACCAGTGTGGCTGAGCACCCCGTGGCCAAGGGACCCAGCCAGCAGGGGAGGGTATGCCTGAGGCCACAGGGTTGGGTGGAGCCACTGACTATGCCAGGCAGAATAGAAATGGCTGCTGGGCCTGGTGGTACAAGCCCGTCATGAAGGCACTCAGGAGGCTGAGGCAGGAGGATTGCACTGAGTGTGAAGCCCCGTCTCAGTAGCCCTGGTTCCCCTCAGCAGAGCTGAGCTGCTGTTTCTTCCCTCCCTGCCTTGGGCCCTGTGCCAAGGGCGGTCCTGACAATCCTGGCTGCGTTCATGCACACGAAGGTGAGTGCCAATCTCTGGCCCTCAGTGCCTGGAAATACATCGAGTAGGACGTGGCCACCTGGGGATGGTCACTGGGAAATGGGGGGACGATGGACCGACCTAGCCTGTGGGCCCAAGAGTTGCTGCAGTCCCAAGGACCACCAGGGAGCAGCCCTGGACTCAGGCATCGGGGAGAGCAGTACGTGCAGCACTAGGGCTGGGGGCCACTGCTACAAACAAGGCTTTGCCATGCAGTTCAGGCTGGCCTGGAACTTGCAGTGATCCTCCTGCCTCAGCCTCCTGAGTGTAGCCACCCTGCGCAGCCAAAAAGTTCATCTGTAACCTCATTTTCACTTCTGAGCTTCCTAAAGTGGAGGATTCTTAGAACTTGCAGTCACAACTAACGCTACCTTCTTGGCCGTAGGCCTCTCTGATTCTGAGACACTGTGGCAACAGGAAGGAGCACTGAGTTGGGGACTGCTCTGCCACTCCCTGTGAAAGTGGAGAGGTGTGTGAGGCAGGGGCAGAGGCAGCCAGCAGGGGCTCACTTCACTATGCGGTGAAAAACTGAGAGAAATGACCAGGTGAGTTTGGTTCCTCTAAAGTCTTTGCGTGTCCACAGCACTAGCTCTGCCACTCCCTGTGAAAGTGGACTGACTGCAGAGAGGTGTGTGAGGCAGGGGCAGAGGCAGCCAGCAGGGGCTCACTTCACTATGCGGTTAAAAACTGAGAGAAATGACCAGGTGAGTTTGGTTCCTCTAAAGTCTTTGCGTGTCCACAGCACTGTGTGAGGGATAATTAAAATAACTCAGGGGCAGGTTCTCTAAATCTGATATAACTTTAGACAAAATGATCTTATCTGTGGATTTTCTGGAAAAGGTGGCAAAGAATGGGAAGTCAGAAATATGAGTATTTTATTTACCTACAGTATTCTACAATTAGTAATTTTTCACTGTTCTTTACGACATTTGGAAAGAAAATATATATATATAAAAGTAGACATTTAATAATATAGCAAATAATCACAGCAATCAATTTAGAATTGGGATTTTTCTCAAGTATTTAAAAAAATAATTCAGTACAATCGTGATTATGAGGGAGAGGGTGAGAGCAGATTTTTTTTTTTTTTTCATTTTTTGAGGCAGGACCTTGCTATGTAGTCTAGACTGGCCTTTATTTATTCATTTATTTATTTTTTGGTACCAAGGATTGAATTCGGGCCCTTGTGCTTGCGAGGCAGGCAGGGGAATCACTGAGCTAAAGCCCGGCCCTGGGCTGGTCTTGTACTCATTATGTAGCCCAAAAGCTCGCTTCAAACTTGGGGCAACCCTCCTGCCTCAGCCTCCCCACTCCCTTGATCTTGGACACCCACACATCTGTTTTCCGGCCTTTTCTGCCTGGAATATAAATGGACCCACATTGCGTGGCACCCACTGAGTCTCCCCTAGTGAGGGTGCCGGCCGTGTGGCTGTCATATAGCTGTTTCCCTGGTCGTGGATGCGGGGCGTCTGGGGTAAAAACCATGACGTGGACAGCCCCGGTACGCCCCCAGGTGCCAGCACGACTTTGGGAGGCACCGTCACGCTTTCTGCACAGCTGCACCACTTTGTAACCACACGCGATACGGCCAAGCGCTGGGCTTGTGCTCAGCCATTCTAACCGAGATAGCGTTTTATTGTGGGCTTTTTTTTTTTGAGACAGGGTTTCACTCTGTAGCTCAGGCTGGGCTGGTGTAGCTCAGGGGTAAAAAGCTTATCTACAGTATCCAGCGCCCTGGGATCTAGACCCAGCATTTGAAGAAAATAGTTAACTAGAAAGTGAACACTTTTTTTTTGGTACCGGGGATCGAATTCTGCCCCATTGCGCTCTCAGGGCCGCGGCAGAACCAGAGCCAAATCCCCGGCCCCAGAAGGTGAACACTTCTAAGAATAAAAGTCACAATGCCGATGATCTGCACTGATGGAACTTCAGCTTTCAAATGACACAGAAACAAAGTAGGCGAATCTAAGACAAGAAAAGAGTTGGGCGTGGCGGTGCAGGCCTATAACCTCAGCACTTTGGGAGGCTGAAGGAGGAAGGTCACAAGTTCAAGCCCGGCCTGGGCAACTACGTGAGACGCTGTGTCAAAAAACTAAAGGGGCTGGGGTGCAGTGCAATGGCAGGGGCCTCTGGGCGGCTCCCAGCATCACTAAGTAAGAGGAGAACGACATACTTGGCTCTCGCTTCCTCCCACTTTAGTTTCTTTTCATCCACACTTTTCTTCATGACCTGGTACCACGTTCTGAAGTTGAACCATGGTTTATCTGAAAGAAATGGGGCATGTGGCTATTGGTGAAACGAACCACACCATAGTAATGCATCATTCTTTTGCATCTTCCTTGACGCAGCTAAACATTTATGAAACGGCCCCTCCGTTATCTGAGTTTTCACCCAAGTCGCGGCCTCTCCTGGATCCTACCCGAAACCTCTCCTCCTGCCTGTTTCTCCTAGATGCGACTCTTGGGAACGGAAGACACACTGTGCTGTCACAGTACAACCAGGCCTCTTCCTTCCCCCAAAGCCAACGCGCAGCACACACGGCCGGGCACCTGCTGAGCTGACGAGCACCCGACTGTAAGCGTGCGAGAGTCAGCTCTAACCGCCGAACCGAGACTCCAGCTCGCTGGCTCCTGCTCCCGTTCTTCCCAGTCCTAAGCTCTCCAGGGTTAAGAAGAAAGTGCATCGTACTGGGCAGTTCATGTGTACTCAAGACACAGAAGTTCGAGTGACAAGAGAACTGAAGGCAGCGGAGTACAGAGGGCTATTCTCTGGTGAAGCCGGCTTCTTCTCTGTCTAAATGAAGGCCGACTGGCCAATAGCATCATCACCCAAACCACCCTGGCCAGGGAGCGGACCCCGAAGGGATCTAAGGACAGAGGACAACTGTGCAAGGCCCTCGGGCTCACAACTTCTCTAAGGCGGGGAGGAAGGGGATGGAGGGCAGCGGGCCGACAGTGCAGACAGCAGCCCCTGCCCTCCAGGGGCACAGGATTCTGAGGTCCCAAGGGAGAGGTCGCGCTGCCTTCGCGCACAGGCTACACAGCCGGCAATCACCGTCAGCATCGTGAGGGACCTCGGGCCACTCCGGCTGAGCCACAGCGCACAGCGCGAGCCTCCCCTCTGCGCAGAAACCGAGACAGAGCAGCACTCAGAAAGCAGCGCGTGGTTCTGCAGATTCTGGAAGGGAACATGAACTGACCACTCCCGGAGCTCCTAAAAGCCTAATGAGAACGGAGGAAAGTGGGGCTGAACTGAAGAATTCAGGAATTCTCCAAACTTCACTAAGTTGCTCTTAGGCCAGCTACTCTGTCAGTGATAAAATTAAAAAAAAAAAAAAAAAAGCGAGATGTGATCCTTCCTCCCTTCTGGAGGTTCACAAGCCATCACTTCTACACTGCTTGTTACACGCCAGATATTCTTTTGCTGTTGCTTTGATTTTCTGAGACAGGGTCTTCCTGTGCAGTTCAGGCTGTCCTCGAACTCACTGCGCCCAAGTGTGAAAGAAAGGCACAGGAACCAGCACGAGCCAAGACTCAAGCCTCAACGTGAAGCCGTCATCCATGGCCTCATCCAGCGGTGGGCGGAAGTGGGGACTGGGAGCAGCCACACTCCCCACACAGCCCGCAGCTGCCCGCCATGGAACCAGGAGGTTATGTGACGGGACGACCCTGGGCCAAGGAGGGTGTGCATGTGCGTATGTGCGCGTGAGTGTGCGTGGGTATTATTCCAGCCTCTCTGCATTTACTGTATCTTAGAACCCATCATTTACACTTTGAATTTGATAGATAAAAATTCAGTACCTGTTTTGTTCTTTTCGTTATGGACTTCAGCAAGATCAGACAAAGACCTAGGAATAACAATAAGTAACGGATTTATTTAAAAATCACATAATGTGACAGACAGTTACATTTTGAATTCTTCTGAGCAAAAAGTATAAAACAGTATTTAAAATTTGAAATGGATATTGAATCTTCTTGGAGAAATAGTCATTGAAGCTGGGAGGAAAACACTATGAAAACTACTCTGCCAGGCATGGTGGTGCACACTTGACATCCCAGCACTCAGGAGGCTGAGGCAGGAGGATTGCCATAAGTTCGAGGCCAGCCTGGGCTACACAGTGGGACCCTGTCTCAAAACCAACCAACCAGCTGGGCCTGCTGGTGCACGTCTGTAATCCCAGCACTCGGGAGGCTGAGGCAGGAGGATCACTGTGAGTTCGAGACCAGCCTGGGCTACATAGTGAGTTCCAGGTCAGTCTCAACTACATAGTGAGACCTTGTCTCAAAAAACAAAACAAAACAAAACAACCCAACCAACCAACACGCAGAATGGCACCATCAAGTGTTACATGCCACAAAATTGAAACAGTCTCACCATTCTGCCTTGTCGTCCAATAGGAAGAGCAGTTTCAGAACCACCACAATGAGAGCTGCCGCCTGCACGTCGTATTTCACAGTTCTGGCAGCTTTTGCTATAGGGTCGAACGTCAGGGAATCCACGTCCCCCATCCCGGTCATCTTTGTCACTTGGTGGGTTAGCCCGTGCATTTCATCTGTGGAAGAATCAAACAGCCAGGGTGAATTAAATTCCTTGGCAAGCTAGGCCTTAGCAATGTGTGTATGCACAAGACATGAGGCCGGGTGCAGGGCGCACACCTGAAAGCCCAGCTACCCAGAAGGCTGAGGCAGGAGGACTGCAAGGTCAAGGCCAGCCCGGGTAATCTAGGCTTACGTAAAATTTCAGATGGGGAGCGGGATGTAGCTCTGCCCCCTTGGGTGCGATCTGTAGTTTTAGGGAAAGGGATGACTCTGCTAGAACCTGGAAATACATGCGCATTCTGTGATAAATGCACCCCCAAAGTGACACCTGTACGAAAAAACATAAAGGCAGATCTCGGCGAGGACTCCGCACAGCACACTGTGGCCCCTGGTGACAGCCACACCTCCTGCAGACTCGTCTCATCTGTGCCCCATGCAGGGCGCGTACCGACTCAGCCGCAGCACCCCTGGCATGGCGGGCAGCCGTGCAGTGGACACGGAGCCCGACGCCCTGCTTGCCTGGGGCTGGGATGCTGGACGCGGAGCCAGGAAACCAGGCCTGTACTCAGGAGCTGCTGGATCCGGGTCAGGGCCACCAAGCCTCAGTTTCTCCGCCTGTCACAAGAATGGACTGAGCAAGCGTACCCCGGATAGCTCTGCTTCTAAACACGCTTCACACTGAGTTTTCGGGGTGAGCCAGGGCCCCGTGGGTGTCCTGAAGCTCAAGAGCTGTTGCCTGAGGAGCCTGTGGTCCCCTCTGCACGGCCCTGGGCCTTTGTCCACTGCAAGTGTGTCACGTGCAGAAAGCAGGATAGGGGCCTCGCGCCCTCTGGTCTCAGCCCTCTGCAGTCCAGTCACTCTGTCCCCTGCTCCCGGGAACCCGTGACCATGGTCACCTCTGCTCGCCCTGTGTTTCCAAAGCCACTTTCTCTCCTCTGTTCCTCATCTCAAGCTTTGCTGCCAACAAAGCCGGTCCTACGACCCCAGTGGGGCAGCGGCAGCCTTCAACTGCCTCCCTCTTACTGAAAATCTATCTTCCCACCTGCAGCCAGCACACACCCGGCCACAGGACCTGTTACTCCTTTAACTTGTGGGTGGCAGGTATTTTCTTCTACCAATAAGTAATCTAGACAGGAACTTAGAGACCCTGTCTCAAAATGAAATGTTAAAAAGGTTGGGGGTGTAGCTCAGTGATGGAGCACTTGCCTAGAGTGTGCAAGGCCCTGGGTTCAATCCCCAGTACTGCAGGGGAAAGAAACAAAAGGCAAACAGAAGAAAGCGTGGGAGAGGTCTAGACGACAGACAGACAGGGTCCCTCAGGGGAGGTGACGCGCGAGAGCACCAGGCTCAGATGGGAGGTGGCGCGTAAGGGTCTTCCCTACACTGACCCTGGGTGCTGCCGGGCCGCCGGAGCCCCGTTAATCCCTGGGGTCCCCACCTGCCTTCCATCCTCAGTGCTGAGGAGAGGGCGCGTGTGGCGCTGTGCAAAGACCAGAGATCTCCAGCCAGACCCAGAGGGTGAAGGGGCAGAACCTCACCGGCCAGGCTGAAGCTGTGCAGGAACTGTCCCCACAGGACAGCGCTACTCAGCAGGGTGCTGGCTGCCCAGGACCTTCCCACCGGCCCCGAGGTCTCACTGAATGGCAGTGTTTGTCATCCTGGCAGAGGCTGAGCCATTTTTAGTTTTCTGGGGACCTGAAAATCTCTCTTTCAAGCTGGGCATGTTGGCACCTGTAATCCCAGCACTCAAGAGGCTGAGGCAGGAGGTTCTCGGTGAGTTCAAGAACAGCCTGGGTTACATCGTGTGTTCAAAGCCAGGCTGAAGTGAGATTCTGCCTAAAAAAACCCAAAAGCACAAAAGACACGGCCTTCTTTTTTATCAACATTATCATACAACTAATGTCGCTATTGCAAGTAGCATCTGTACATTTTGGAAACGGCACATCTGAGCATCATCTTACGTACAGTCTTAAGCTCAGATGGTTTGCACACTGGTTTCAGATGTTCTAGACTCTAGACTTGGAAACATGAGTATCATTACATTTCTTTTCTCCCTGGTACCAGGGATCGAACTCAGGACCTTGTGCTTGGGAGGCAGGCGCGATACCACTGAGCTACGTCCCGGTCCCCACATCTTAATCTGTAGATCTGAAAACTTGTACTGTCTCTTCCCACTGGTAATAATAAAAACTCAATCCAGGCCATTTGTAGGATTCATAAAAATAGGGAAAAAAATGACATGGATTATCATAGCTCAGAAACTGATCACTTGCTTATTTATTTACTTATTAAGACAAGCTCTTACTATGCAGTCCAGGCTGGCCTCGAACTCACAGCAGCCCTCCTGCCTCAGCCTCCTGAACACTGAGATTACAGGTGTGCGCCACCAGGCCTGTCTTAAACAGCCACTTTAGTAGTTCAGTATTTTTACTTTAATTTCATGTAGCTCTCACCATGTTAATCTGGCTTGTTTCATTATTTTAATAACAAACATTTCAGTGCTTTAATAACTCTTCATAAACATTATCTTAAAAGTTACACAGCATAGCTGGGAGTGACAGCTCACACCTATAGTCCCAGCACTATGGGAGGCTGAGGCAGGATGAATGCAAGTTCAAGCCCAGCCTGGGTAAATTAGTGAGTCCTCGACTCGTAGGACTGGGGATGTGACTCATTGTGAGGCCCTGGGTTCAATCCCTAGGTACAACAGACACAGACACACACACACACACACACACACACACACAGACGTGTAAATAAAAAGCAATGCAAAACAGTAATTCTGATCTATCAACACATAAAAATGCAGATAAAAGTCTTCCAAATTCTGGAATCTTGACCAAAAGTGGCTTCTGAAATCTCAGTAAGGGATACATATTCCTTAGCTTTATAAATGACACCTTTTCAAAGTTTAAATTATTTTTGTTGTTCTTTGTAAAAATATTTTATTTCTATTTGTACTTACATTGCCACATTTTCTTTGGGGGGGGCACCTAGCGCTTGCGAGGCAGGCGGCGGCGGAACCGCTGAGCTAAATCCCCGGCCCCTATCGCCACATTGTCTACTCACTGTCGTGGGTAATGCGCAATGCTGTGCATAGCTTTTTTCACATCTGTATTTCCCCCTACTATTTAAAATAGGTCAAGGCCAGCACGGTGGTGTGCACTTGTAGTCTCAGCTACTCTGGAGGCTGAGGCAGGAGGATCACTCGAGCCCAAGAATCTGACACCAGCCTATGTAACACAGTTAATATAGCAAGACCCTTGTCTCAAAAACTAATGAAAAAAAAATAGATTAAGTAACATTTTTGGTGCTGCCTAAGACATGATGCAGTCATAGCACGTCTGCATTTTCCCCGAAGAATAAAAGTGTGCCTTTCTCACATTTCCAGTCTAACAAGAAACTCAGGCCGCCGCATCTGCGGATTCCATCAGGGTGACTGTCACCAGGGACAGGTGCGGCGAGGCTCTCACAGCCTGGGTCACAGCCTTCCAGGGAGCACCAGGGGAAGACCAGGCTTTGATCTCCTCTCCTTCCACCAACTGGAAACCGCATATGTCATCAAGAGACAAGAATGTTCCAGAGTCGATTCTGGGAGTCATTCAAGTCAGAATCCGTATGGCTTCATGCAGGGCTACTCTTTACTAAGCCGCCTGCAAGTAACACCCTGGCAGGGCTGCCCCTCTCCTCGGCAGATCTGCTGAAAGAACTCACCTGCTCTCAAGCATAAACCCCCTTATCCGAAGCGGACTTCTATTTTTGTTTTGGTTTTTTGAGACAGGGTCTCACTATGTAGTTGAGACTGACCTGGAACTCACAGCGATCCTCCTGCCTCAGCCTCCCGAGTGCCGGGATTACAGGTGTGCACCACCTCGTCCAGCTGCGGACTTCTATTTTTGAACAACATCCCTGGAAACATTTTATTTATTTACTTTTACTGTTTTAATAGGTTGTAGAGATTCATGGGTTTCATTTTGGCAGATTGCTCAAGCAGTGCATGGGTGTGGGGCAGGTGGTTGAGACAGGATTTCCCCATGTAGCCCAGGTGGGCCTTGGATTTGCAACGATCCTCCTGCCTCAGCTTCTTGGGTGCTGAAATTACTGGTGTGCACCACCACACCTGGTGCTTTAACATTTTAAGTGGCCTGAACCCTTTTCAGAAAGCATTCTGAAATTAAGCTTCACGCGGCTGCGTGCCATTTCTGGGGGTGCCAGGGAAACATGTCCCACACCCCGCTCATCGAGATTCCGGTGGTGAAGTGCCCTCAGTGAGCAGCCCGCACACTCACCAGGGAGGTTGGCCTCCATCAGGTACTTCACGCACAGGACGTTGGGGTGAAGGAAGCAGTCTTCGGTGATGTCCGGAAAACGGGGCAAATCTAAAAACGTGGCGATTTCAATCGTGTGTTTATAGATCTCCTCATAGTCAGGCCAAGACTGAAAAAAGAGAGGTCACAGGGGTAGCAATTGTTCTGATTTTATTTTATTTATTATTTATTTATTTCTTTTGAGACAGGGTCTCACTATGCAGTTGAGACTGACCTGGAACTCACTATGCAGCCCAGGCTGGTCTCGAACTCCCAGCGATCCTCCTGCCTCAGCCTCCAGAATGCTGGGGTTACAGGTATGCGCCACCATATCCAGCTTTAATTGTTCTGATTTTAATGCCTTACATCACCGAATGTTTGGAATATGGGAGAAAACAGGAAGAAGACACCCACAAATCCTTACTGTTGTAATTTAGCAATTTTTTTTCCAGACAGTGTCTCACTATATGGCCCAGGTCAGTCTTTTTTTTTTTTCTTTTCCTCATTGAGTTTACTGGTACATTTTAGGTATATGGTACAGTTATATTCATCACTGGGATCTTGTTCCTTTACTAGCCCAGGGCAGTCCTGAACTTCAGGGACCCTCCTGCCTTAGTGTCCTGAGTGCTGGGATTACAGGTGTGTTCCAAACTTGGCTTAATTTACTGATTTTAAAAAGTAACAATACTATATAAAAAAGCCACTAAAATTATTTGTCTCCTAAACTTGTCGCTCGCTCTACCCGTGCGGTCCAGAATGAAAGCGTCACTCTTGCCCCAGAAGGGTTGGAGGATCGAGCTGTGACTAAGTGCTACGGAGTCACAATGGCCCTACACGCACCCCTTGGCCCTCCCCGTCTCCCTCCCCCACCTCAGAGCCATCAGCTTCACACTCAAAAGCACAGCCTGCTGGCACGTAACATTTGCACACTTCTGCATGGGATAAGACCACAATCCATGTCGAGCAGTTGAAAATCCACACTCAGCTTCCTACAGAACTCCTTCATGGAAAATTCTCTCCGGAAAGCTCAGAAAAATCTGTTTTTTTTCCTGAGTGAATATTAATAAAGTCTGCCTGGTACCTTAAGACCACCTTTCTGCTTGTGGGATTTCTATTTCTGCAACTTATATGCAGAGTTCTAACGTCAATGCTAGGTGTAATTTTGCTCCTTTATTCATCTGTGTGTGTGAACTATTAGGTGCAGAGCCTGTTCGATGCACAGTGCTTCGAGGAATGAAGATGAACAAAACAGATCCCTCAAGGGGTTTGCCATCTCGAGTGGGAGCCAAGTGTGCAGAAAAGGCTGGGATGCAGTGCGGGAAGCTGTCAGGCACACGCAGGAGAAACAGACGGCTGGTGGGACCCAGGCCACCGCAGGGCCTGTTAGGACTGGTGCCGAGTAAAGGGCTTCGCAGTCCGTGGACAGGACCTGCGGGTGCTGAGCAGGTGACAGCCGGTGACAGCGCAGCTCTACTCTCAGCTGCACTCCCCGAAAGAACCTGCGCGCATCCCTGAAAGCCAGGCTCTAGGAAGCTCCTGTAGCCCAGCAGGAAGCTCCCCCATTGTGCAGGGAGGACAGGAGACTCAGGCACATGTCGCAGTCACAAAAATACAGTGAATATTTAAATTTTAAAAAATGTATCAGTTACTTTGCCATGAATTCTCCCAACATGTTCCTCTCCTTGCCCACACACTCATCCCATCGTCCTCACCACTTCCTGCAGCAGCTCTGGAGTCCTCTTTCCCGAGGGTCTTCAGCTGCGCTGCCCTGAATGGAATAAAAACATTTTCCTTTCATGGTCATTTTGACCTTGGGGAAGAGCAAGAGCCAGAAGTCACATGGTGCTAGATCCAGTGACTAAGGTGGACGAGGACACAGTGTTGTGTGTTTATGAGCTGCCTTTCTGTTGGATGCTGTGTGGCAGCAGCCGTCATTGTATTTTTCATCACACCTGGTAAAGACCCTCAAGAAAGAGGACACCAGAGCTGCTGCAGAGAGTGCCCAGAACGATGGGATGAGTGTGTATGAAGTTCATGGCAGTGTTTTTCACTGTAACACATTTTATTCATTCATTCATTCATTCATTCATTCATTCATTTATTTGGTTTTTTGAGACAGGGTCTCACTATGTAGTTGAGACTGACCTGGAACTCAGTATGTAGCCCAGGCTGGTCTCAAACTCACAGTGATCCTCCTGCCTCAGCCTCCCAAATGCTGGGATTACAGGCGTGTGCCACCACGCCCGGCTGTAACACATATTTTTAAAGAAACATGTAAACATTCGTGGCGATCGCCCTCATAGTCTCAGGTGTCAGCAATGAAATGAATGCTCTATACACAACAATGTGAACGAATTCGAATTCTCAGAACATAATGTTCCAAGAAAGAAGCCAGATGTAAAAGAACAATTCCATTCAGATAAAGTCATGTCAGCTGGGCATGGTGGTGCACGCCTATAATCCCAACACTTGGGAGGCTGAGGCAGGAGGATCACTGCGAGTTGGAGACCAGCCTGGGCTACATACTGAGTTCCAGGTCAGTCTCAACTACATAGTGAGACCCTGTCTC